TGCGTCTGACCTCAAAGTGCACAAGCTTCAGACTTCAGCGTTGGCTGCGATTTTGAAGCTGAAATCGCGTTCGGTGTGAACGCACCATAAAAGTTTCATGTGGCGAAATAGGCAGATGTAGGGTTTTGATTAAAACGCTTGCAAAAATGACATTTTGTTACATACTGTATAACCCATAAATGTGTTATCAATGTATTTTTTCAATGAACTGTCTGAAATATTATCCTAAAATAATTTTGAAGCACTTTTTTGAGCATTAGCAACCAAAAACTTGATTTTGAGGAAAAACGCCTTAAAATGTTGAGATTTTCACTGTAAAGCTATGAAAGCTTGTTTCTTTCCAGCTGGGAAATCTCAATAGTCAAATACTATTTGAAGTTTCTTTTTTTAAACGACATGAAAAATCTTCATTAAAATTACATAAAAATAGTATTTAGACCAAATATTTTCGTATTAGTATAACAAACAAGACAAATTAAATAATATCTCTGGATCTACCAATGATATCAGGATGATCTAAGTATCAAAATGTAGTTTTTAAAGCCAGGAATCTGAAAATATGATTATGTCATTTTAAACAAATTTGACTTAATCCTCATTTTGATAAGATGGGTCACATATGTATACGTTTATACAGTACTGTTATAATTTACCTCTATTTTACACAATGTGGGAGTTGCCAGTTGGGTTGGGTATTGAAAGGGTTTATTTTGATACCGGTGCTAAACTGATACCTTCAAAACGGTACTGGTTCCTAAACGGTATTTAAATCGGTACTTTAAAAATAAATAAATAAAACACACACAGTCACACAGAGGTTTATGAAGCAATGATTATTTCTGAGGCAAAGTTAAACTTGAAATTAACCAACATATTAAAAAACAAAACAAACAAAACCTTTATTAACTGAGCCTTGTCTGATGCAGGCTGTATGAAGTGCTGCCACACAGGATTTCTTCCTTCAGCCCTTTCTTAAAAACATTCAAAAAATAAATAAATTCATGATTTATTTTATCTAGTGCTAAATATTCTGTTTTTATTTGTAAATTACTCAGATTAATACATTTTTTTACATAAAAAATGACTGTTTTAATATTCCAGCATTCTGATGCAAAAACAGYAACAGGCCCAAATAAAACTGTCAGAGCAACTCAGAGAAAAAGAAAACACGCACATACATCTTGCTATATWTGTGAGGGCTTCATACACACACACACACAGCGCTCACAGTCTGCCTCAGTCTGCACCCGTTTTTTTCACACCAGGCAAAAAATGCATTTAAACCAGCTGAAGTTAAGTTTAGAGCACAGTTTGAAATGTACACAGAAGGAAACCTTCATCACGTCTTTATACTACGGTCAGAGCTAACGTGATCTGCAGCGTCTGTCTGCTGCACGGCGGCAGCTCTAACGTAACAGCGAGAAAGGACCGAGAGCTTTTTATTTTAATCCAGCAGGGACACCAATACAGGTATTTTTCTATGCCTCCTGTGAGCAGTTCCAGCGTTTTTAAAAAGAAAAACAACTCGGACACGCTAATTACAGTGCGGTTTCAAACCGAAAGTAAAAACATGGAGCTCGCTGCGCTGCTGTTTGAAGTGAAACTTAAACTCAGCTGTTCTCTCTACCACACATAGTCCGACACAGAGGGCAGAAACAGCTAAATTAGACAGTTAAAACACATTAWAAGTTCATAACTCACCCTTATTGTTGTTGGCACTCTGTGGAGATTGTGTGCYGAGGCTGTCACTGTTAACAGTGAACACCAGAGGGCGCAATGAACAGCTTTCTTTGAGGCACCAAAATAAAGCACCGAAATTGGAGTTGTGTTTCGGTTCGAGTACTACCGTTGATCTTCGCCCCGGTGCCATACTGGACCCGAGTTTTGGTACCCAACCCTAGTTGCCAGTTGGGCTTATTTTGGGCTTGTTTTCATAGAGTTGGTTGCTTGTTTCTGTCGTGAGATCTGGCAACACTGGTGTTAATCTAAAAATGTCTGTGTAGTTTTTACATTCAGTATAACAAACCGAGTTGTGTGATGTGACTAACTCAATAACATTGTATACAGTGGCTTTGATCAGAAACCAGCACAGAGTTTAATTGGAGCACATGTCAAAATACAGGGATTAGACTCCACACACACACACACACACACACACACACACACACACACACACACACACACAC